TTTTATTTTGTTTTACAGCTTTAAATACAGTTACATTTTTCTGAAGATTATAATTATTTTGACTCATATTCTGTTCAATATAACTTCCAGCAATACTGCTTCACACAGATGCCTGTCTTCCATCCTGTCAGGGTCCTTTATTTTTTTATTTAATCCACAAGTAATAAGATCCTTGAATAACAACAGATAACTCATTGTTATCAGAGTAACTGCTTTCTTGATCAATGCAAAATTGATCAGTATTACAACATTTTGGAAGAAGGTCTGACAAGATGACAGTGACAACTCATTCAAATGAAGCATTACCTATTAAGTAACATTACCCAAAAGAACTAGGGAACTCTCTATTATTGTTCTGCTGTATTGCAACTTCCCCACATACGAATGTCTTGGTTTTCACACTGATTATGTATCAATGTGTGGGTAACACATTTTTGAAATAAAATGGGGTTAAACTATTTTGAAACAAAGTTTCTTTTGTATTAAAAGCTCTTATCCAATCATAAGCACTCAAAACAATAGCCAAAAGATGCTTCTAATTTGCTATGTTCCCCACATAGAATTGCCTTAATATTGAAGCTAAAGAAAGCTTTCATGAAAGTGAAAACAGACATCAAATAAAATATTTTATTACAATATTATTATTCTTATTATATTATTTATTATTATATTATTATAATATTAATATTAGAAAATGCGTTAACTTGTGAAATAATAGCAGATTTTCATGTTTTAACTAATGGGATGGATGGATTATACAAATATGCACAATTAGCACCTTCTTGCATTCCTTTGCCGTTTGCTTCCCTAGTTCTTACTTGGGGCATTACAGTATTAATCAAGATGTTCTACTTTGATACTATCAGAATATAATSACTTCATTAGCTTTTTGTTCAGTCTAACAAACATAATGCAATACTACTCTAAATATTACAAATAATAACAAAGATATCTTTAAATGTTTCATCTTTACAAAACCTTGGCTCATCTTAATTATTTCTAGATACACTTTAGGTTTAGTGTGTGGGAATAACTCTTCACACAAACTAAATTTTCCAATGTTTACAAGCACATAATTTTCTACTTAGGAGCACAAAATGTTGTTCTTTTTTTTCCCAGCAACTGGCTGTCTAACCTGACAATATTTGAATATCTATGAGAACACAGCAATTATTAGATACTTATCTAAATATTCTAGAGTCCCTTCTGCTTGCTATATTATACAGATATTTGGAATTAATTGCCCCAATGTGATGTCTAAAAGCTTTAATCAAATCATGAAAAATAACTTGTTGGTTTTCTCCTTCTTGTTATTTCTGCAATCACTATGTTCATTATTACCTATTATACTATTATACTATTTTATACTATGTTCATTACCTATTATACTATTTTATACTATGTTCATTACCTGTTATACTATTATACTATTTTATACTATGTTCATTACCTATTATACTATTTTATACTATGTTCATTACCTATTATACTATTATACTATTTTATACTATGTTTATTACCTATTATACTATTTTATACTATGTTCATTATTACCTATTATACTATTATACTATTTTATACTATGTTTATTACCTATTATACTACTTTTTTTTTGATTTAAAAATCAATAGACTCCATCAGGGAAACAAAACATTGGATCTAAGCTATAAAAGAGATTCAAAGTTTTTTGTATTTTCTACACCACATATTGGTTGCACACTCAACATATTCCATGCAACACTTATATCTACACATGTGCAAAGTTTGAAACATGTACTAGGTGAATCCATATGCTCAGGTCTCAATCAATCATGGAAGTTTGGGAACAAAGGAGGAGTTACTGTGGATTGGACATGTCTTTGATCACATGGATTTAATTACACCCTCTAACAGTTGTATAGGTTCCCGATTAAAGATGACCAAAAGCTTTGATATGTTGTTTAAAGCATGTAGTCTCCAGTGCTAGGTGGGTATTATGGTTTGAGATGTAAGTTCCTGGTTGGTTTTAATGACATACAAAGTGTTAGTTTTGTTGTCTTTTGTATGTGTGGAATCCTCAGTGCAAGGTGGGTATGGTTTTTTTCTTCCATAATACTATCCATAAGTGCTAAAACTAAGATGTCCACTACTTTTGTTGTGTTCCAGATTGCATAGGATATTCACCACCTGTTGGGTATGGTGGACTGGCTTGAGGTGGTCCTTGAAACTGGGGATTGYAGGCAGGAGTTGCCTGTGATGAATCAGCATTTATTCCTGGATATTGTGGAGGTGGTTCACTTGGAACAGGATCATTAACTGGTGGAAT